AAGTTACAGTCGCAGAGCCGCAAGTGCAAAAATACGATTGGAAATGTTAAGAACTGACATTAAAGCGATGTATAAGTTTCTTTAGTAGTTGGTGATTAGTTAACAAAATAATTATGCAATATTTTTCAAAACTTATTGGGCAAAAATACATTTTTGTAGTTCTACTGTGGTGAGGCAACTAAAATCTGTGATATAAAGGTATACAGGCCTAAATTATTATTTGTGTATCGTGAGAATTATGGCTACCACGAGCTACCATTGCATATTAAGTTATAAAGTAATAGTTGGTAGTAGTTGGCGCCAAAGTTTGCATCTTCTAGGCGTAAATTTTTTTCAGAGTTTACATCTATCTATAAAAACTTGAAACGAGTAGTAGTGCTGGGATTAGTGGTGACGGGATTAGTGCTATTATCTCATTTCCTAGAGTAGTGGTATTGGATAGTGGTGTTGGGAGTAGTGGTGCTGGGATTAGTGGTGACGGGATTAGTGGGGAAGAGGGCGGGAGGTGCTCTTCAAACTGGGTAGGCCACATCATTTTATTTTATTCAGCGGATGGTTGCAAAGTAACTATTAATATCTTTAGTATAATGGATTTCGCAAAGTAACGCCTAATTCTATTAATTATCTTAAAACGATATTGTCTAATAAGAGACATTTTCTAGAAACCAATAACATATAAATATACATATTATAGCTATATTTTTGTTTTACATATTCATAAAAATATAGGTATATCTTTTTCTGTAAAAATACTGTCACTGAACATTTTCAATCAAAAGTTTGACCTCATGGTTAAAAACACGCATAGCTAACGAATTTATTTCACGGGTAAAATTTAACTTGTTCATGCAAATTCTTTATATATGAAAAAATAGACTTACTGATTTCTTGGATTGAACCATTCCTTTGTAATACGAGAATACAAGGTTACGTACTGTTTTGCGATAATACAAGCGTTGTATATTTGATGCGCACAGTTCTAGAGATGTCTCTTTGCCGAGTTTTGAATTAAAATATTGAAGGAGTTGCGAACAGCATGCAAAGTAGCAAAACTTGTAATTTTAAATCATGATAATCTAGGTTGTACCTTAACTGTACACACACAAAGTGTTGCGCTGCCATTGTGCAATAATGGCTGTAAATATTTTAATTATTTAACTTTGTTGGCATTAAAGTAAAACATGGAATCATACTTACTTTTTACTTGGGTACGGCAACAAACCGTACCCAAGTAAAAAATAAGTATGATTCCGCCTCCAGGTCCTTCAAAAGAGTCATTGCCAAGGCAGAGTCGGAGCACATAGGCAGAATTGGCGAGAAACTAGTTCCTTTCTTCTATCTGGTCTCTCGCCAGGGATGTCCAGGGGAATTTCTGTCAGTCATCTCTTCCATCTCTGCACAGGGAGGACGACTCACTTTCCCATGCCGCAAAGGAGAAAGCCGATCTGCTAAGCTCTTTCTTTGCGTCCAACTCGATTCTCGATAATGTCGATGATGATGGGGGAGTACACCGCTGACCATCCCGCGGTGTGAGTGCTCCATGCCGGAAGTGCTGTTCACACAGCGCTCGGTTCGCAAAGCACTCCTTTCCCTGGACATCCACAAGTCGAGTGGGCCTGACGGAATCCCCCCAATGGTGCTGAGGACGTGTGCTTCGGAGTTGGCACTGGTTTTAACGTATCTTTTCCGGTACTCCTACTCCCTAGGCGTAGTCCCAAAATCATGGAAGACGGCTTTCGTCCACCCGAACCCTTAAAAAAGGCGACCGCTCAGACCCGTCCAACTACAGGTCATCTATATTATCGCCATATACTATCGCCATCACCTCCTTGTTCTCCAAAACAATGGAATCCATTGTAAACTGCTAGCTCATGAGGTACCTTCAGGATCACCAGCTGGTTAGTAATCGCCAAAACGGTTTTCGTCGTGGTCGATCAGCTGGTGATCTTCTGGTCTACCTAACTCACAGATGGGCGGAGGCAGTAGAGTCCAAGGGGGAGGCATTGGCCGTTACTTTGGACATTGCGAAGGCCTTCGATCGGGTTTGGCACAAAACGCTTCTTTCGAAGCTCCCTTCCTATGGACTTCCCGAGAAATAGTGCGATTGGATCACCAGCTTTCTTGCAGATCGGAGCATCAAGGTCGTTGTAGACGGTGCAAGCTCCGATTACAAGCCTATTAATGCTGGTGTTCCACAAGGCTGCGTGCTATCGCCAACGCTGTTTCTTCTGCATATCGGTGATATGTTGCAAACGTAACATTAATTGCTATGCAGATGACAGCACTGGTGATGCTCTGTACACCGGCCGTGCCAATATTTCTCGGAAAAACGTCTCCGAGTGCCGGGACAAACTTGTGTCTGAAGTCGAGTCTTTGCTGAACAAAGTATCGGATTGGGGGCGACTAAATATAGTCCAGTTTAACCCTCAGAAGACAAAAGTTTGTGCGTTAACCGCTAAAGAGAACCCCTTTGTCATCTCCTCAATTTCAAGGCACTCCCCTTGTTGCCTCAGCCAGTATCGGAATCCTCGGCGTCGATATATCGAGTAACGTTCAGTTTCGTGGTCACTTGGCAGAGAAGGCCAAATTGGCCTCTAAAAAACTTGGCGTGCTCAGCAGATCGGGACAGTATTTCATGCCGGCACACCGCCTGCAACTTTACAAGGCGCAGGTTCGGCCGCACATGGAATACTGTTCCCATCTCTGGGCTGGGGCTCTCCAGTAAAAGCTCCTTCCACTTAACCGCATCTAGCGCAGAGCGGCTCGAATCGTCGACGACCGAGTGCTTTCCGATCGGCTCGATTCACTGGCGCTACGAAGAGAAGTTGCATCTCTTTGCATTTTCTTTCGCATGTACCACGGGGAGTGCTCTGAGCAATTGTTCGGATGAATCCCAGCCGCCAAATTTCGTGAACGCGCTACGCGGCAAACGTCCCGCGCGGCGATACGTTCCCGATCGACGATTTATCCTCGATTAAGAATCAAAATGCAGATGCGTTGTCACCCCTGAGGTCTAAGATGGAATGCCTCGTTTCTATAAAAAAAGTCTCCGGTTGACACTGGTATTCTGTGAGAACGTGGTCCTTCCACGGTCGAACTGACCCATTCGTGCTACAATAATAATATAGTTGCAGTTTAAATGTACAGAGGTGTTTTGTTCGGTAAGGAAAATAATCTGCACTATCTTGAATTGCTAAGTCTTAGAATAGTCATGTGCTTTTTTAATGGCCATAATTTAAACGGTCAATTAATTAAAGAGGTTTTGATCAGCTACAAAATGTATTTTGTCAGCAAACAAAGTGAATTGAGTTTTAGTGGTTTTAGTGGCTTTTAGTGGTCGGCAAAAATAATTTAAATTGATAAGCAATTAATGTGTTATTAGGCAGCCGTGGAAATAATAAATTTGCAGCAATATAAGTAATATAAATTATTTTATTTATTTTTAAATTAGAATTAATTTTGCTTTGCTAATTAGCTTTATTTCCACAAAAAAAAAATTAAAGTCCATGGTTATAGCAAAATTATTTATTAGATCCAATAATGGACTGACTACTCTACCTACTATTTGAAAATAAATTAAAATACTATATATAACTTTGAAAGCTAATGTAACCTAACCGATTGCATTATCTTGCTGCTCAAGTAATAATTTTGTTATTAGGACTTTTGTATAAAACCCCGCTTTATCTATGAGCGTGTCAGTATTAAGAGGTAATAAAATAAAACACAATTTGAAAATAAAAAAATATTTTATTTTAATTTTTTTTGTAATAGTTTCTCATAATATTACATGCTGTATATACAACATTCACATATAATAATAACTTACGAAGGTATCAACCAACGTATCGTATTATAAATCTAAAATATACGACCAGTTTTGTTCCACGTACGCTGCAATGCACATTGCACACGTCCTTGCTATATGCATTCCACACTTTGTATTTAAATACTTAAATTTCACTCCATGCAGTCGAATTCTGATAATTAACGATTGCAAAAACACAATTGTCACACAAATTACAGTAGGGAGTGGATATTCTTGATATTCTTGGCGTTGATCGGCGGCGTAAGAATTTCCACTAGTCCATATCATCCCGAGGGTGTCGTAAGAGGCGGAAGAGGGAAATTAAAACAGGATGTCGGTAGCGACATCGTCCTGACGATAACTAAAAATAATAAAAAAGCCAGAGTCGCCAACCCGTTTGCCAAGCGTGAGAACTATGGCAAAGTCTAATTTGTGGCAATTTATGGGTGCGCCTACCTTCAACATTTGATTTTCGATAGGCTGTAATTAATGAACTGAGGACCACACTCACAGAATCCCAGCGTATAATAGCAGATTAATGCTGCTGTGTTTCGTGTGGTAAGTGTAGGAGAGATCGAGAATAGAGTAGATGTCTGCGCCGCAGCATCCACTTACCATCAGGTGGATTGTGTACGCGTTAGTCACCCTTATTCTATAGTTTTTCAAATTGTGATAATGCATATTAGTTTTATGTTTTGTACCCGGCATTATAATTTTAAATTTTTTTTAATTATCTTTTTATCAAATAAGGGTAAAAAAACGAACACAGTTCTGAAGTCGATACTTGGTTAATAATCAAAATGCAGATGCGTTGTCATCCCTGAGGACAGATGGAATGCCTCGTTTCCAGTAAAAAGGGTCTCCTGTTCTTTATATTAACCATACGAAACGCAGCATAACGCTGTTGTGTAATTAATGCTATTTTACGCCGGTATTTTGTGAGAGCGCGGTCCTTCCCCGTTCGACGTCGACGGGTCATTCGTGTGATAACCACAATATAGCTTTAGCGTGGCTGTACCACGTAAGAAATTATTTATATGAAGTTATTTTAATATTTTTTTTTAATTTAATTGTTTTTATTTAACAGCGCTAACGCGGAAGTCAAAGGTACGAAATGGGTTTGCCACACATCACCACGTTCTGCTGGTGCATGGGCCTAGAAGTTGGCTCTAAAGTCATCGGTTACATACACTTGGTAAGCTAATACGGGCGTTAATATTTTACAAGATCTTAAACGCATTTTCGTATATTTTTCATTCAAAAATGAGAACACTGAGGGGGAGGGGAGCAGAATATGTTTTTCAAGCAGGAAAATATTCTGCCGATAGGCGTTTTACATAAACAAATTGAATATTAATTTTTTTACGTTTTACATAAACAAATTGAATATTAATTTTTTTTACGTTTTACATAAACAAATTGAATATTAAGACAGACCACAATTTTAATCCGTCCAAATACTATTTTCCCTGCTTAATTTTTAGACTACTTTAGTCAGCATGTGTTAATAGGCATTTTATAAGTTAACAAGTTACTAGGAACCAGTTTTTTTTTAAAAGAAGTAAAGATAATAAATTAGCACACAATCCACCTGTTGGCAAGTGAATATTGTGTCCTGGAGACATCTTCATTTATCTTCGATTAAAAATTAAATGCAAATATGTTATCATCCCTGGCTATTAAAACGAATCCCTCCATCCGCCTCCCAGTCCGGCTCGTAGGACCAATGAGTATGTAACCTTTAGCTGGAATACTGTACATTAAATTAGTTAGTTTTTTGTATAGTATTTGTTTTAAGCAGCAAAGCTGTTGAATGCACGAGAAAGACGCAGTAGTGTAATGTAATGATTATACTAGCTCTCTATATCTTTCGACCGGCATACAGCAGTGCTAGCACTGCTATTTAGCACTGTTGCAGCTATATTATGGTTGTTGCATGAATTGGTCGGTTGATTGGAGTAGGGCTACTCTCTCACAGAATACCAGCGAAAAATAGCATTCAAACCTGCTGTCTTTCGCATGGTAAATGTGGAGAACTAGAGAACTTTTTCACTGGAAACGAGACATTATATCTAAGTCCTGAGGGGTGACAACGTATCTGTATTTTGCTTAGGCCATTCTTGGGTTGAATCGTCTAAGGTATTTTGATTTTTAATAGAGGATAGATGCACTTAAAATCAAGTAGATTGTGGTCTCTAAAAATTGTCTAAAAATGGCGTGTGAACGCTACAGTTCGCATCCCTGACGATGATGGTGCTGTGCTCGGTGTCGGCGGCGAGCGCGCGCGCGTACATCGGCAGCCTGGCGGACGGCGACGAGCGCGTGTACTCGCGCTGGTTCATGGGCGCGCTGCTGGCCGCCATCGCCAGCGCCGTGCCCGCCACGCTCGCCGCCACTCTGCTCTTTGCCTGCCATAAGGTTTGTTCGGCATTCGTCGATGACGAATGATAACACTTGTTCAGTAAGCTGTTTGTTAACGCAAACACATTCTTATAACAAACTACTCTGTACGACTTGTTGACCACAGCCGTGATCAAGTCATACCGCCAATGTGAGACACAGTTGTGTTTTACATTGGCGGTATGATCATAGACAATGAATGTTTTTTTTTATATTTAATACATTTGTAACACGTTATTTATAAACTTTATCTTTCTACACTCCTCCACATAAACTTTAATTATGCCAAGCCTCACACATACATAGAGACTATTCTTAATTGTTAAATGTAATTTGTGCATATTATAATTAATTAATTAATTAAAAGGCTTGTTTTAAAACTTCCCCACTTCATATAAACAATTGAAATAAATTTTTGTATCTCCTTTCTTACGATAAGTACTTAACGTATATACAGCATGGCCAAAAAGTCGTGGATCAAACAAAATAAATGTAAAGATAAATAGATAAGAGACGGTCAGCATGACAGAAAAAATCTTGACTTTATGTTAAATTTACAATTTTATAAATTTTATCACCTTGATTGAAAAAACGATCATAACACAAGAATTAAGAAACAAAGAGTTTGATGTTTGCACCTCATTTGAATCGGTATTAAATCAGCAAGTGTTTATGATACAGGGTCACTTTTCACGTACAGTCTTCTCACAGTGTGTTTTTTAAATTGAGAAAAAGTGTTAGCTAACGTTTCAAAATTTTTGGAAAAAAATTTGCTCTTTAAATTTGGTATCCAGAGCCGTAATAGAACTTTTTAGTGCTGATATATTATCTAATAATAATACAACATCACTTTTTTAATTAGTCTAATTGTAAAAGGACTCGGTATTTTATTTAAAGAAAACAAAAATATTCACAACTTTTGGGGCATTGAATCATGACCATGCTGTAGAAAGATTTTTGTTGCAAATGACCTATATCCGCCTATTTAGTTTGATTCACGACTTTTGGCCAACCTGTACATTTCATCCACCCATTGCAGTCAATAACAATCGACTGCTGAACATGAGCCTCCTTCATAAATTGCCTCATAGAGGGTTTTTCCAATGTAAACGTAAATATAATGTAGGTATATTTTTCTTAGACATGCAATTTGCGCACGTGTTCCCTCACCGTCGTGCACATGCTTTTTAATTATAATCAGCACTTAAAATAATTGCAACTAACAAAGTCATTGGCGCCGGTGGGAATCGAACCTCAGTCGCCCTCATACTGTGAAATTTACAGCAAGCGCTTAGCCACTTTACCGTGTATTGGCAGTGTAAGTATCCACTGCCCCATATCTTCCTGCGGGAGTTGTAAGAGGCGACAGAGAGAAATTGAAACGGGTGGTGGGCAGCAGCATCTGCCTGAAAACGACTAAAAATAAAAATAAAATGCAATTGCCACCCCGCTTGCCAAGCGTGGCAACTATGGCAAATACTCTCCCTATTAGAAAAGCTATGAGGAGGCCTATGTTCACCAGTGGACTTCAATAGACTATAGCGGTATGCATGTTGGGAGAGTGGCCATTGATCTTTAAATATGCATTCGCGTGAAAAATTTACGTATATGATATTACAGCGTAGCACAGTGGCTTTACGTGCATGGGTGCGTATAATGTGCGCGCTGTACCTGGCGGCCATCTTGTACGTGGTGGGCTCCTTGATCGCTTTTGGAGCTCACGGCTCCGGCTCCGATATATTCGTGGCCTTCCTCGAGGGGGCACTGTTCTTTGGTCAGTATTTATTTCAAAAAAATATTTTATTATTTTTGAAGTGGAAAATTCTTTAGAATGGTTGTGATTTGATGAAACGAAAAAGCGACACTAAAAAGAGACAAACATAAACACATATATCTATAGGATATAGCCTACGAGGAAATGAGATAGCATACTGTGCATAATAGAAATTTCCTATTATCTCGGTCTTCTCTTTGTGCGGTACATTAAAGATGGTTAGTATAACTTTTATATAGCCTACGAGGAAATGAGATAGCATACTGTACAGAATAGAAATTTCCTATTATCTCGGTCTCCTCTTTGTGCGGTATATTAAAGATGGTCAGTATAACTTTTAACTGTTAAAATAAATAGTTAAAAATATTAACAGATTTATCACAAAAATAAAATTAACCGTATTGAATAAAATTACCATATCCTATCCATTCGTAACAATCCACGATTTTATAACTTACCGATATATCGGGTGTGGCGTAATGAGTGCATAATATGGTACTTGCAGGTAGATGACGTTGTGGCGGTTCAGAAAAATATGTTTTATGTTTTGTGATTTGTAAAAGTCCCTCTGCTAGGTAGAGAGTAATAATTCTTGGACAAGATCAGTTACTTACACTAGCGAAAATAACCGATGTTAAATCTATCCTGCTCTTTCATGCCATGAGTGATAAAGAAAGACGAATTAGTGATCCACTCGTGTAACGTATATCCTTTTCGTATTTGTGGTTTGTGCGCTAAGCGCTTTTTTAAGTTATTGTGCTATCATACTACTCCCGTGCAACATCGTTTTAATTTTTTTTATTTTTTATTTTATTTTTTTAATTTTCGCTTTGGATTAAAATTCATCGATTTGTGCTGTTATTTTGGACTTGATTATGCCTAGCGATTTGGACTTTTTAATTTGGTGTAACGACTTCGTGCTGTAACTTCGGACTTGATCTGCTTCGTGGTTTAGATTTTCTATTAACTGCAAAATAACTATTACTCGCGTGCATATTGCATTCATGGAAGGCCGAATACCTGGAACTGGAGGCAACGAGTACACAATGAAGGTGATGTATGTGATGAAATTGCAGCTGATTCGACCACCTCTGTGCGCACCATTGCAATACACAGGCATATCGGCTAGAACAGTGCATATAATATTAAAACTAAAGAAGTTACACCCACTTCATTATCAGCGCGTTCAATGTTTGCTGCCAAGAGACTATCCTGCTAGAGTTGAATTCTGCGAAAACATGCTAAGAAAATTGAACAATGATCCCGAATTCTTCGATTCAGAAAATTCTGTGGAGCGACCAGACCACGTGCAAAAGAGACGGATATTTTATTATGCACAATCTGCACAGTTTGCAGCTCGCCAACTCTCTTATTTCATGAGAGAAAACAGGTACCAGTATCAATTTAAAATAAAACTTTGGACTGGGATCCTAAACGGTAACATCATCAGTCCATTCGAATTGCCAGGAACATTGACCGAAGAGAGCTATTTGCATTTTTTAAGACACGGTCTCCCGACTTTATTAGAAACTTTTCGTTAGAAGGGAGAAGAAGAATGTGGCTGCAGCACGATGGTTTCCCAGACCATTACGCCCGTAGCGTTCGAGACTATCTCAACTAAATGTATCCCAGACAATTTTGTAGCCCCCACGATCACCGGACCTTAACCCACTCGACTTTTTTACTGAGATGCCTCAAAGAGAAGGTCTACAAAGATCCCATTACCTCAGTATCATATACCCATAACACCCAGAATGACGGAGTGGTCATATATTATAAAAGTATCTTTTGAAGAACCCCAAATCAGCGATGCTAATTGTCTACTATTAAGGCTTAATTTCATAGATTCTCTTGACTCCCTTCTGTCTAAGCTTAAGAGCTATAAAAACAAAACCATGGGTCACCATAGGCTTAATACAGTATATAAAATATAGGGACAACATTTACAAGAAATTAAAAAAGGACCCTGAAAATGAAGCACTCAATATAACCTATAAACACTACCGGAATTATAGCAACTCTGTTCTTAAAAAGACGAGAAAAGATTATGAGAAACAAGAAACGAAAATTCAAAACATAGTAAAAAAAGCTGTGGGAAGCCATAAAAATAGGCCGTTACTGACATTGGCCTTCGATTGGGTTTGGCACAGCGCTTCTTTGGAAGCTCTCTCCCTATGGGCTTCCCGAGAAATTGTGTAATTGGATCACCAGCTTTCTTGCAGATCGGAGCATCAACGTTTTTGTAGACGGTGCAAGCTCCGATAACACTGTCGATAACGATAATGCTGTCGTTCCACAAGGCTGCGTTTTCACCAACGCTGTTTCTTCTGCATATCAATGATATATTGCAAACCGGTAACATTCATTGCTATGCAGATGACAGCACTGGTGATGCTCTGTACACCGGCCGAGCCAATATTTTTGGGAAAACGTCTCCGAGTGCCGGGACAAACTTGTGTCTGAAGTCAAGTCTTTGATGAACAGAGTCTCAGATTGGGGGCGACTAAATCTAGTCTAGTTCAACCCTAAGAAGTCACAAGTTTGCGCGTTAACCGGTAAAAGGAACCGCATTTGTCGTATCTCCTCAATTTCAAGGCCTACTCCTTGTTGCCTCAGCCAGTATCGGAATCCTCGGCGTCGACATATCGAGTGTCGTGCAGTTTGTGGTCACTTGGAAGGGAAGGCGAAATTGGCCTCTAAAAAGCTTAGCGTGCTCAGCAGAGCGGGACAGTATTTCATGCCGGCACACCGCCTGCAACTTTACAAGGCGCAGGTTCGGCCGCACATGGAATACTATTCCCATCTCTGGGCTGGGGCTCCCCAGTGCCAGCTCCTTCCTCTTGATTGCATCCAGCGCAGAGCGGCTCGAATCGTCGACGACCGAGTGCTTTCCGATCGACTCGATTCACTGGCGCTGCGAAGAGATATTGCATCTCTGCATTTTCTTTCGCACTACGGGGAGTGCTCTGAGGAATTGTTCGGATTAATCCCAGCCACCAAATTTCATGAATGCACTACGCGGCAAACCTCCCGATACCATCCACACCATCTGGATGCTTGGCGGTCCACCACTGTACGTTTAACTTGGAGTTTTCTTCCGCGTACGACGTCTCTGTGGAATAGTTTACCACCGGCGATTTTTCCGGACTGATACGACCTAGGGATCTTCAAGAAAAGAACTTACTCCTTTCTAAAGGGCCGGCAACGCACCCGCAATTTCCTTGGTGTTGCGGTTGTTCATGGGCGGCGGTAGTCACTAAACATCAGGTAAACCGTTTGCTCGTTTGCCCCCTCTTCTATAAAATAAAAGAAATCGGACCGGCTCTAAGGTAGTAGATCGCTCATGATGTCTCCTCTCTCCAGAAAATCCGGAAAAAAGTATTAACGACAGCAACTTCATCTTTGCTAATATTGGAAGGAACCTGGCTGAAGATATTATAAACTCTGGACACGGAAAATCTACTGAACCTGACGTCTTGTATCCATCCCCCACCAACTCGTTTGTCATGCTACCTATGGTGAGGATGAAATTTTCCAGTTGATCCAGAGTTTAAGAGACAACTGTGCAGTAGGGCTCAACCAGATTTCTAGTATAACACTTAAGAGATATACACAGGACATAATGTTATCCCCTCCCGTTATACTAAACATATATGTAACCTGACTTTGTCTACAGTAATCTTTCCCTCAGCGTTCAAAACAGCGCTCATCAAACCTATTGACAAAAGTGGTGAGAGGGACTGTGTCAATAACTATAGGCCAGTATCCATCTTACCCACACTATCCAAAATCTTAGAGCGCCTAATAAATAAGTAACATATAATAAGTAACAGTATGTAATACAAAAGTTTACTTTTCCACCTAGAATTTTGGAAAATCTATTATTAAGTATGTATTTACCTAAAACAAATGACACACACCAGTACTAGAACCTTATTAGTATGTTAAAAGTGACAAAGTATTAAGTTTTATATTATTAGTAAAATTAACATACACAAAGCAAGTTTGTGTATGTTAATAGAAAATTAGAATCTGGGTCGAGATATTTAAGGAAGCTTCTTTATTTGATGCAGCTTCATTGGCTTTGAAGAGCGATTCATTTAACTGTGTTTATATAAAAAAGAGCCGTGGTAGCTCAGTGGTTAACGCTCGCTGTAAATATAACAGAACGTGAGTAATCCGGGTTCGATCCCCGTCGGCACCATTGAAATTGTTAATTGCAATTTTAAGTGCTGATTTACCACGTGCTCGGCGGTGAAGGAAAACATCGTGAGGAAACCTGCATGTCTGAGCAATAAGAAAAAAAAATGTTTCGAAGACATGTGAAGTTCGTCAACACGCATTTGGGCAGCGCGGCGGACACTTCCTTGCCCTAAACCCTCTCAGAAATGAGGGGAGGCCTGAGTCCAGCAATGGGACGTATATAGGTTGTAACTTTACTTTACTTTTTTACTTTTATATAAAAAATAAGTACTTTATGGATTCAGTAAGTTGCTTAAAACCAAGTGGTTTTTTTGGTAATCCAGACATGGATTCTAAATTTATGCCAGCCATTGTAGATAGACAGTATAGATGGTGCATATATTATGTGCATTATTACTTTAACATATTATGAAATTGATCTATCAATAAATACTACTACAGAAGATTGCAACCATCTTCCATTGTAAAGTTTTAGTTGATCAATAAAGATTTATTATTTTAGATGTATATGTTTGTCTCTTTTTCGTTTCGTCGAGTTTTAAATCTACGATTCTAAAGAAGTTTTTACTTTTTGAAAAATAATGCTTTTTTCTGGCTGGTGATAGCCTACTACTACTGGCACTAGGTGGTGCTATCGACTAGTTTTGCCGGGAACGTGCTACTTGAAATGCCGAGGAATTATTGTTCTGTATTGTTGTTAAAATATTGGTTTAAAATGGTTTTTGAATCGTAAAAGTGGTTCGATCGTCAGAACTATTAGTGAAAACGATATAACAGTTCGTCAATCGTGATGTAAAACTCAGGCGCTTTTTTATTTACTTAGGCGCCTTAGTAGTCCTTGCCCGGTTGAGCCAACTAATTGTTTTTATAGAATGAGGGTGACGAACGAGCACACAGTCCACCTTATCGTCAGTGGATGCTGCGGCCCATTAGACGTCTACATCTATCCTCGATTAAGAATCAAAATGTAGATACATCAGATACATATCAGATGTATTTTTGCGTTGTCACCCCTGAGGACTTATATATACATACTATACTATAGTTCCATATTTGGAATGCATCGTTTCCAGTATGTGTGTGTATGTAAGTGTCTCCGATTCGCCACACTCACCATACGAAACAGCAGCATCAAGCTACTATTTTACGCTGGTATTCTGTGAGAGCGTGGTCCTTCCCCGGTCGAGCCCACCCATTCGGGCTACAACCATAACATAGTTGCAGCATGGCTCTATACGTAAAAAGTTAAATTCAACTATTTTATCTTTCAATCTTTCTATTTTCAGGTATACTCGCTTATTGCATCCTCTGCGTCAACAGCTACTACCTTGTGCTCAAGTGCAACCAGGACATGGAGGGGCCCCCCAAGACCGAATATTAACTGGCAACACTGGCAGACGCCCGGCTCTATATTTATAGTTTTGTCAGGTCCACCGATTTGAAAGAGTAAGAAGCACTTACTATATTTTATTGCTTTAAAACTGGAAATGTAACCTTTTTTACTTGTGTACATTTTTGCCTGATGCAACTTATGAAACATTTTACAAAGTTTTTGTGATATTCAATTATCTATATATTTGTTGTATTTGTGAATTTTGATGAAATTAAAATTATATAATTATTGTTTAAAGTCAAATATTATAATGCTACATTGTTTTAGTACGTCTACACAACCACCCTTCAAGGAAAACTTGTTGGTGGCCATTTTAACAAAGTCTTGGTTAAATTGTAAATGTTTTGTTGAATTTAGAATTATAACAAAGTTTTAAAGGATAATTATATAAAAAGAGGGAATAATAATATACTCGAATATACTGTACAAAAATGTATTTAAAGTCCGCAAAATTTTTAAATTGTTACCCATAGTACATGAAATTATCAATTAAAATTACGTAGTACAATATCATAATTTGAATTGTTTTCTCATCAAAATGTTAAAATTAATTTGATAAGATCTGCGTGAAAATACTAAATTTTATTTTATTTTATTCACTGATCATTGAACGTAAGGTGGTACATATAGGTACCCAAAGAGCTCCCCCCTCCCCTTCTACTATTGCGTGGACTAACACTTCCATCAGCAAACCAAGCACTATAGGAAAGACCACCGCATGAGTAATACAATATGTGTTAGCGGATCTTAAACTACTTAATTTTAACATATATAATATGAATGGATTTCTACAACTGATTTGTTAACTGACTCATTATGAATTACTCTTGTGCCTTGGTGTTCAAAGTGAAACACCGTTCTCAATAACCGTCCGTATGTTGACGACTTTAAATCAGAAATAAAAATGAATGTCTTTTTCCCCATGTGAATATTTTAAGAGAATTCATACTTATTCACAAAATATAAGAGTAATGTAGCAACCTACGTATGATCTAGGCCGGTATTCAAAGATGATTTCCAGTTCAAATAAAAAAATATATCATTAAATGGTCTAGACTCAAGTTCTGACATTGAGATTTTCATAATGATTTATTTAATTTACGCGAATATGACGACACGTTGAATAAAACTATTTTGATGGGTTTTGTAGTCAATTAAACGCGAAAAAAACGTAAAACAGTTTTATTTAATTGTGAGAGTTTTCTTTATTGATTTTATTTGAATGCCTGATCGTATACATATTGAAAATTTAAATTTACTTAAGATTGGATTATTCCTTGATATACCAATGTTTAGTTGTTAAGCAAAATTTAAACAAAAAGGTGCCAGTTTAGTTTATATTTTTATATTATCATAATGTTACTTACAATATTATTTCTATATAATAGCGATATTTGATAAGCCTTTTTAATTTAATACCTTATAATGTTATGTCCATTGTAACTTATGTTGTTTTATCAGCTATAAAGTACTGTGTAAGTGTCAACACAGATTGAGCAAAGTACTTATGAGTTACCCAGTATTAAATAAATTTCGATCTTATCACATTCAAATAGAGTTGTTAATGGAAGGCAAAGTGAACTTATCTTTAGCTAACTGGTATCGGTTACCTCCAAATACCTGTTTAAACATTCACGAGCAAATCTTTATTCTGAGCTGAATGTAACTCAAATAATTGCAATTAAAAATAAAGTATTTTAAGTACCTATGTCATTATATTATAATAGTGACTTATTTGATAAAATTTTATCGATATATTTTGTTGTTGATTGAGGCAACACTTGATACACAATTATAAGGGATGTTTTCTTATTATTTGACACTGGAAAATGTATATTTGTACGACATGTAAAAATGGTAGTTTCTGTTGCTAAAAGGTACTGTTTTGTATTAAATTAAAAAATTGAATGATAACAGTTATAAAAGCCAAATGATCACGCACAATTTATTAGTAAACTAAAATATGACCTCCTTCTGTGAATCATGTTGAGAGAAAACTATTAGACATGAAAACAAAAAAGTAGCATTGAAAAAAGTAGAATCTCACATAGATACTGTCTTAATGTTACGAGTATATACCACGTACAAATAATACTCTAGTAAATAAATTTAAATAAATCAATATTTACACAAAATGCGAACTTCCTATAAAATGCATAATACTCAAATAATTTCCGTTATGAATTTCTAATTCACTGATTAATTTAAGAAAATCATTGGGTATATTTTTATATTCGTTGGTTTATTATATATTTTATTGGTTTTGAACATCCATTTCCGCCGACAGAAATGTTTGAAAGCATTTCTTCCAGTGCATAGTCATAAATTTGAGTCCATCACAGTTTTTAAAATTCCACATTGCCTTACAAAAAGTAGGGTAAGGTGGGGTATGGTGAAACAAGAATTATAGTAATGTTTTAACAAAAATATGCTTTAATATTTAAATTATTAAAGTTAACGTATGTGTTATTATCTTAAGTCAAAATCATTGTTAACATTTTTAACATTGTTTAGTATCGTTCACAGTTCAAATTTTAATGCGCTGTACACATCTGGTACAGTTAAGCAGAAAAACGGGTACATTATAACATCTAAGAAGAAAAATCTATGCATACTAAATGATTTCATAGCAAATTGTGGGAAATTATTATGCTATATTTCTCTACCGATTTGGTTCCAATTTTCTGTTTAGTGGATTCGACACATCTTTATATGTTGCAGGTTTTACAATTCGCTAAAAACTTTCTGTTTTCTTAGTGATTTATAAAAGAAAATGTTTTATTCTGACAATAGCGGTTTGGCGCAGCTGAAATGGCGGCTTGAACGTGTTAAAACAGTGTTCGACCATTTTAATAAGATAGAAACGTGCTCCGTGTTTAACTTTGTCCCACCTTGCCCTACAACAGATTTGAAGGAGCTATATTTTCTTTAAAATATTTTTATCTTACAATATTATAATAATTAAATTCATATTAAACATATTGCGTAGTTACTCTCAAATTAAAAGCCAAATCTATTTAGCATTATTGTAGCACAGATAATTATAATATTTTGTAGTGTTGTTTACCTATGCAACGGAATTAATTGTTATATTTACTAAAATGGTAAGGATTTAAAGATCTTATGACACTGAAATATATTTGGTAATTTTTTCGCATTTATTGTACTTTATTGTAGGTGTTTTGTATCGCTGTGTGTATTGCAAATGCTTCGCGATTGACTGTTGTATACAAAGACTTCCGTGTATACCACTAGACTGGCAATTCAGAACAATAACTGTGTCACGACTGTGGATCGCTGGCACGGACTTGTATTTTCATTTACGACAGGTACTGTTTTTACAAAATAAAATTACATACCTACTTTTCTGAAATAAATTTCAAATCACACGTTCAAAGTGCGCAAATAAATAACGACAGCGTTCCTTTAGTCGCGCTCAACTAAATCAGTGTTAGGTTGTCGAAAACAATGTTCGCGTTTTACAAAACGTAGGACTAGTGTTCTTGGCCGCTCGCAGTCGACCATAGATTACTGTGCATATATGCAGTCCATAGAGTAGAGTAATATATACAGAAAATGCGGTCGACTAAAGGAGCTCCGGAGAATTGAGCGTAACTTATTATTAGTGCGCAATGTGTTAGTGCCGTAGCTTCCGGCGGGTAGTATACAAAGAAGTCTGTTTATATTAAATGTTTATTTAGAAATATACGGCCTTGATTGCTTACTTGAATTAAGTACATATATAAGGTAATTAATATATGTATAGAGATCATTAGCTCTATACCTATCTCATTCTTTCTATTGTGGTTTAGTAAAAAAGAGAGAGGGAACAACTTAAAGCATTTCTTAAATTAAATTCGGATTTCATTAACTCCCTTTCGTGTGGGTCGAATTTAATAATTGATTTCAAACTAATTTCCCGAAGTTGGCGAATTGAAATTTTGAACATAGCTCAAAATCGAATGACAGTGATGAAAAAAAACGTGATAAGTATGTTAAAAAATACACATAACTTAAAAATTTCACTTGTTTATGAATAAATAGTTTTTACCAAAATCTAATAGAACTTGCTATGAAATTTAAAAATGTCTACACTCTTATTTACTTAATCTATTACAATACGCGCAGGATAATAGTTGTTTTTTTCGTTTATAATATACGTTATATGTAGTCAACTCCTGCGAATGCAATCCTCTAGTATAACGTTTTTATATGCCTTTTAAACTCTTAACATTAAAGACTATTAAATGTGCCACAATTATATTCGTCTATTTATTAAAGTAAATAAAATAGTATAACATCTGACAAGAATATGATCAAGCTTCCTAAATTCTGCAGTAACATTTGTGTTTTACAGAAAGTTGTATTTTTTTTTTATAAAAAGGAAATATTTCAAAGAAAAATGTATATAAATGTACTAAAAAATTTCCTCAAAGTAAGCTCCTAGCAATGAGTATGTATTACATAATATACAATTAACAAAATCTTAATAAATACTTAAGGCCAAATTTTCGATCACTATATAAAAGTTATTTTATGATAAAGTATGACATAAAGAAATAAAAAATTACATTTGTACGAATGAAATAATTCCATTGCTGCACTTTTGTATTCCGTCGGGTTATATTATATCGTTATCACCACCGATATTTGGGGTATTGCATCCCTCTCTTCTTCCTTCGAGAATCTTGATCACCGAGATCAGAATTAACTTTTGATATGTTTTGTGGCTTATGCAAGGTTTAAGTTATCAATTTACGATTATGTAATATTTGCGAGGTGACGTAGTATAAGGTTATATTTGTAAAGTATTTGTTTTATATAAATTATGTTGTACATCGAGTCAGCATAATAACTGTTACATAGCTGCCATATTTTTTTAATATTCTCATTGTACAAAAAATTGATCGATTTTTTAATAAAATACATATAAAGTCTGTACTGCGAGAGTTGATAAAAAGCAGGGTGAGCAGTTTTGACGAGATTTT